CTGAGAACAGGAGGTGTCCGCATGGTGGAGGGATAAATTAAGTATAACACATGAGGTGTGCATCATGTGTGAGATTAATGAAGTGTATCTGCTGTATGTGATTAGATTGAGAAGCATGTAATGGAAAAGCAGAAGTGCTGTAATAGACCGTGGGAGAGGTGGCATGAGCTTTTTCCAGCCAAAACCCACTGATTTCACATGCTTTTACAGCGAGGTGCAAGGTGGTCGTGCATGGATACGATACTGACAGCTAAGAGCCAATACCAATTACTGGCGACATGAACGTTGCTTAAAGCTCTGTCTGTGTCACCAAAATGTCAGTCAGTCAGATTACTGGCTTTTTTCTCCCTCAAGAACAACTGTGTCCTGTCAAAAAGAATTCATTATGCTACACATCTTGTTTAACTTCATATAGATTACTTCCATTTAAATAAGCCCTTTGTATTACAAAAAGACCACACTATTGCAGAACATCTACTAATATTTTGTTTGTTTGTTTTTTTTTCTTTATTGAGCATGCAAAATTATTAGTTTTTCAGGAATTGTTTATCTTTGTCACATCTCTGATGGGTTTGAATTTGTATTTGGCAAAGCTGTTGCTATCCAAGTGAAGACAGAGGACTTCTGATCAGTGAAGTGCTGACCCCCAGTGGCAAAACCCTCCAATAGCACTTAGAAAGAGCACAGAAACTTAAGGATATAGACAAACTGTACTGTATACAGTATACACTTTTTGTCTATATCTTGTTACATGTTCTGATGGAAATTCTGCAGAAAGGATCGGTTTCTCTCTGCTGGCCCTAAGTGATACTGCAAACCCCACATTATATATGTACGTAATTTTCCTGTTCAAGTGATGGTCTTTCAAGCTGACTTACATATGAATGTTTGAATTATTTAACTTTGAAGTGACTCACGTGCTTTCACTTGATTCACTACAAGAGGGGAGAAATTACACCCTTTTTCTTAATAACCCTGAAGACCATCTCGCAATGCTCTTGTCCCTCGTCCCATGCTAATGATAAGACCCTCTCCATGTTTCACTCTGAAAGGAACAAGGAATGTAAATCAATAGCAGAGAGGCAGTACCTGTTCTATGTGCCGGCTTGCCTCACTTCCCGGAGGGGTTGAAATCAATGAGGCAAAATGGAGCTTTCAGCGCTCTCACAGCGTTGAACTCAATGGGCCTTGACGGCTCTGAAGATTAATGAGGGGAGCTTCTGCTGAACAAGCAAGTTGACTCTCAAAACACATTTGTGGCCATGTTCACCGTGGCTGTAAAACACAGATCTGATCACAGGCTTAGTTGGTGTGTGGCTCTGCATTTTAATGTCACGTATCCACCATCCAACAAAAAACAAAGGAGTCAAATCCATGTAAAGTCACAATACTTGTATTTTTTTTTTTTATTGAAATATAATCGAACCCTGAGGCTAGATAAGAAGGCCAGAGTTTGTTTGTGCCTCGTCTAGCTCCTCAGTCTGACACAGCCAGTTTGAACACAACAGACCTGTCCAAAAACACACGTTACACAACTGGTGTGAAAAGTTCAAAGGTTTTTTTTTCTGTTGTTGTTGTTTACACGGCCCTTTACACACTGACAAAGTTTCAGGATATACACAACCCCAATCAGTTGCATAACCCCAACAATATTTGGTGTCTATTTGAAAAAGTATGCTACCTCTCCTTTTATTGAGAGCAGAAGTGCTCAATTTAGCTCACATATAATCCAGGGTCAAATATATAAAACCATCATAATATAGAAAATCAGCAGGTTTATTTGTACCAGCCATGATAACTAATCCGAGTAAGGTAACAAGAGCACGGTCAGCTTCCAGGAATAGTTTGGGAAGTGCTTATTCGCTTTCTTGCTGGGAGTGAGATGAAAAGATTGATACCAATCTCCTGTCTGTGCAGCAAATTTTTTGATTGAACCGACAGCTGGTTAGCTTAGTTAAGCATAAAGTTTGGAAACAGGGAGAAACAATTAGCCTGGCTCTGTTCAAAGGTAAGAAATGATCCAGGGCATAAACCGAGGTAAGACTGAAACTTGTGTGAATAAAACTGACATTTAACATGCTAACTGATGAGCTTTAGAGGTGCTGGTTGGCTGATTTTGTTACCTTTCGCAGAGCAAGGCTAGCTTTTTCCACCTATTTCCACTCTTTATGCTAGGCTAAGCTAAGTGGGTGCTAGGTGTAGCTTCATATTTAGTGTACAGATAAAACGGTGATATCAGTCTTCTCATCCAACTCTTGGCAAGACAGCGATTACATGTATTTCCCAACATGCTGAAGTATTACTTTAAAGAATTTCACATTGAAGAATGAAACATATTGAAAATTACAAGAGGGATGACAAACTTTTCTTATTTTTACCCTCCTGTTACTGTGAGGCCTTCCACATGAGCTTTTCTTTTTTCTTTTTTTTTTATAGCTCAGGACCAAATTCAGTTTCTTCATCTTGGTCCAAAACACATTATAAGTCTCTTCATATGAAGTGAGAGTCCCAAAGAAAAAAAGAAAAGACAGAAAGAAAGGAAAATACAGGGGAGTTTAGCTTTTTTTTTTTCTTTTTTTCTTTTTTTTTTTGTCCAGGTCTGGGACACGCTGAGGTAACAGACAGTAATAAATTATTCAGTTGTTTAAAAAACACTTTGCAAGAATCATATCAATAATTCATATCAATAATACAAAATGGTATCAAACATACATGATGCAACATTTTCATCAAACACATTCTGTTTTGTTTTTTTTTTTTTGTTTGTTTGTTGTTGTTTTTTCTCTACCCACGATCCAGAGTCTGTTGCTTCATTGCTCTATGATCAGTACTTCAATGTTTTCGGTCCTGCTCGGAAACTCTTGGTGAAGTCCCTTTAACAGTAGATGCAGATTAATACTGTATTCCATCGTTTGCTGAGGTTGATTTTCCACTTTCATGTTGAGGTGCAGTTGTATGCCATTCACTATATGAGATTTTTTCACACTCAACCCTCTTAATTCAAAACAGAGTAATATGGAACTTTTCTTTCAATACCTTTCACATGATTCAATTAAAACTTCTTTAATCTCTGTTACAATCATCGCCAAGGCAACAGGCATACACAGGCACACAGGGCTACAACGTTAATCGCCTATTTGCTTGTTTTGTTGTTTGATTTTACATTCAAATCACTCTGACCGTGCCTTTCGTTTCACTTACAGATTTGAACAGAAAACAACATGCCAATAGGAAAGTCAGAAATTGTATTAAAAGTGCAAAAATGTATTCCTTCAAGAGACGGTATTCATCCAGACAAAAAAAGTTGTCCACCGAAACTTTAGTGCGTTAACAGTACAAGCCATTTTATAGGTTTTTAAATTGTACATTCCTATCCACCTCGCGACTACAAACATGAATATACTGAATGTTTTGTTGCTTCGAGTGTGTGGTTTTCCTACAACTAAACATAGTCTGTAGCTGGGTTAACATGGCTTTATCTGCCTGGTGGTCAGGAAGGCTTTCTCACTCTGATGTATTCCCAGGGCTACAGTATATATATCCCCAATCTGAAGGAGTATCGTCCTTTACTGAGCGTGCTTCATCTTACCACATAGTCCTGAATTCAGTGGTGCAGTCTGAAAAGCCCCTAGATTGAAATAAAGTGACATCACATTATTTTGGTTAGTGGCCAGTGCAAATCAGCTTCTCCAGCCTGTTTCAGCTCTGAAACATGAAGCTCTCATTATACCTTATCTATTCTATTTCATTAAGAATTTCCTTTGTGAAACAGCATTGAATGTGTTTACATTGCCACCTATAATTAGATTTATTTATATCACAAATATAATTGTAATTTTCTCTATTTTTAGATACAAAAAACATGGAAAGTAATTTGTGTTGAAGATTCTGTTAAGACTAAAAAGGAAGAAAAATATATACAGTACATATATATATTAGGGCTATTTTCAGTACAGTACTGATGAAGACTGCACACATCATGCCATTGAAAATGACTGAAGAGGCAACCTAAACCAAACATAATTATTTTGTAAAGTGGCTCTCATGTCTGTTTTTCTGTATTCATGGGAAAATAATCCTCTTTAAGTGTCTGTAAACATGGCTGCTGACACCTCAGTGTTGATAAAAACCCTGTTATGTTTACATTAAAGTGTGACCACATACACCGACCAATCTCACTCTCCTTTACAATTATAATATTTAAACACTAATTCAACAAGTTGATATGGCCATAGCATTCACCTGTCAATTGATATGACACATTTTCTCAGCATCACGTCACATTTCTTTCACTTGCTACAACACGTCCTTCCATCCTCTCTGAACTGACATCCCACAGCCAGAGCATCACATGACCACAAGGTACATGTTATACTCACAGAACCGGCAGCTCACTCAACCACAACACCACACAATATCTATTTTCACTATGGAAAAAAAAAAAAAATACTGTCACCACTCTCATATTCATTCACTATGCCCTTATGATGTCCACTCTAAAAAGAGAGAACACAGACAAACCTATCTAGAGATCACACAGTTGCTTTCCTCAAAGAAACTGTAGGAGTGTGAGGACAGAAAGGTGATGACCAGCAGGTTGTTGGAGGTCTGTAAAATATGAGGCGCCATTTCCAGCTAGTTCCTGCCTTTTCCTTCCCTTTATCAAGAAGACAAGTTCCACTATCCGGGTGATTCTGATATCTGTCTCATTTTCCTCAGAGTGTTCATCTTGTGCCATGTTTGATAGTTACATTACACAATTACACTTGATTGAGAAACAGTTCAGTGACACTGTAATTCTGTGTTGAATACAGGTGGGAGGGATCAAGAGATCTTCGAATGGGGACCACAAATTGAGGAGAAGAGGACATAGCACTCATTCCAAGGCGTTGTGAAGGGCTGAGGGGACATCAGTCCAACATTACAGATTTACGTGTCCTTGTGTCCCTCTGGATCCATACAGCCGTTCAGCGACGCCCCCCCCCCCCCCCCCCCCCCTTTTGTGCTCCAGTAGCTAACCACTGCTGGGGAGTTCCCTGACATCCAAAGGTATGTGGCTGTGCGTGTGGGTGTGTGTATGTTAAGAATGATAAAGAGGAACGAGGGAGGTCACAATATGGCACAATGGAACCTGTGGGAACCTGTGGAACGTTCTGCTCTCCACTTCATCTTCTTTTTCTTCTTCTGGTTTCGCTCTGGGACCTGTTGTCTGTGGAAAAAGGACAACAAAGCAGAAACACTTTGACTAAATAATTTTACAATATAATAATCCAGCTATAGTTATGATTTTATTATGTTTAATATGAGACTATTGTACTGGAGCAGTTTATTCAACTCAGTGGCCTGTCAAAGTTGGTGTGAAAGGAATAGTTAGAGATTTTGGAAAATAAGATTATTTATAGGACTGATAATCAGCAGGTGGGTTAGCTTAGCAGAAAAACTGGAAATCAGAATCAGGTTTATTACCAAGTAGGTTTTCACATACAAGGTATTTGCTTTGGTGCATAGTAAGAGGAAAAAATATAAAGAAAGATAAAGCAAACCAAGTACTGCAGTCAGATAGCTTGTATATGAATAGTTATATTAGTAATTATATGTATTAGTAATTTCAAAATATTTATAATAAAAATCTAAGAAAATATTATAAGAAATATAAATATAATATACAGAGGGGGGAACAGCTAGCCTGGTAACAAAATCCACCAAAGTATACAGACAACACTCTGTTGTTTTCTTGGTTGGACCCAGTAAATTCCTGTAGTCATAGTGACGTTGCCAGGCAAGCCAAGCTAAGCTAAGCTACAAATACAGATATAAGTGGTACTGATCTTCTCGTCTAAGTCTCAGCAAGTATGAGAATAACTGTTTCCCAAAATTTACTATTTCTACTAGAGGAACTGTGTCATTCATTGTGAACATGTGGGTGGACATGTGTCCATTATTTCTCCAAGTTAATACATTTTGTCCCTTTGTTTTGCAAATGTCATTTTTTTTGTACTCTTGCCACATTGTATTTTTGCAGTGGTTGTAACTCCAGCAAGAACTATTGTAGATTGCAGTCACAGTGGCAGCTATACAAGTGAGCCATATGAGGCTTAGAACCAATAGTATGTGTCACCTCTTATGATATTTTTCATTAAGTGTTCAAGACAGCCTGAGGCAAACTGCAGAAGAACAAAGAGACAGTTTTTGCTGATGCATCACAATCATTATGTTTTTATCCACTCCCTGTACAACTGGCTTTCTACTGTCTGACCACAAGATGGCAATGTTGATTCATCAATCCACTCCTCAGTTTCGGTTTGTTATGAAAGAAGAGGAGAGTTTCCTCATGAGTCAGTAACAGAGCTGGCATAATCACAATGAGGACTCTCCACTACTCTGTGGTTGATTTTCTTTTTACAAACACAGAGGTGAACACAGCAGTCCTCTGCTGCTATGTATTTGAGTACAAGTCCTAAAATACTACGTGTTGCTTACTGGCTCTTACAACAAGTCAAGGCCTTAAAACAGGATATGACCACATAGAAAACATGAACGCAAACCAAATTCTTCTGAAATTACACATCAAGACAGGAAATAGCTCTGGGATTTTTCTTTCCTTTTCTATTCTTCCTTAAAACAATTTCACTACCCTCACATAACAGTGTCAAACTCTCTTAGCGCTTCTAACCTCTAAATGAGTGAAATACACACTGGGAGTAAAGGGAACAGGATGATGACTGCAAGTGAATCTGTCTTTCATTATTTTTCATGCAGAGATCTTTATCTCATGGAAATAAGTGAAAAAGAAGAACGAAGTGAACCTGAAGTTACCTTATAACACGGACCAGCTCATGAAAAGCTTTGTCGACATTCATTGGAGGATCCTTAGCACTGGTTTCGATATAAGTTATCTGAAAAAGCAAATGGAAATATTTAGAATAAGAACACATGGTATTAGTTCTTTACTTGAGTTACAGGTCAATGAAATACATAAGTACATAAAAGTACTGTATAAATTTTAGGAATTTACAGTATAGGGAGATGTAAATTTGCATTCAACTCTTAGAAACAAATCTAGATAGTTGAGAAACAATAGGGGTCACAAATAACAGTTGCCTGATGACCTGAAACTAGTAGAGAATCTCAAAGACAGAGTCTGTATCATTGAAAATATTCAAAATTTCCCACAATCATTAATTCAGTCTCATCCCCGACAAACACTGAGACAGATGTCATGATGCTAAGCTGCATGTGAACACTACAATTTGCAAAATTAAAAAGGGGCCCTTGAATCCAAAATGAAAAAGACAAAAACTGCATGACATAAGAAGTCCCAAGAAATCATATCCCTGGAACTGGCAAAACAGTATGTGTGTGTGACACAGTGAGCTGTCATTGACCAAACTCATTCAACACCACAGGGACAAAGCAAACTCAGCAACTTTGAGCCTGAAAGCTGTGGTTATATGACAGCATGGTATTGAATCCAGTTGACAAATAATAATAATCGAAACAGACAAAGATATCCTCCACCTACAGTATAACCCTACAGACATTTTCAGAAAACTATAATAGCTGACAGTTAATACTCTAGAGTGAGCTCACAGGTTTTCACTAGGGGCACATTTTGATATCATGACAACAGTGATCTCTTCTCTCTTCCCTGTTCAAGTTTGCACGATTTCTGATGTTGGTCTTGTGTAAAAAATTGTTCTCACAGATCAGTGCAATTGGTGCATGTTGTAAGGAAGGGATGTGTTGTGCAGATAACAATGTGAACACAGCTTGCATCAGTCTGTGCCATCAAGGTATTCTTAAGGTTTTTGTTAGCTACAGGAGTAACATTGGGTGCTATTGTGTGTGGATCTTAGAGTCAATAGTTAAAAATGGTCTAGCTGTGGAAATCAAATTAAACCCCTCTGTAACACACCTCTGCGAGCAATGATTTTTCCTTTCACTGCCCTTAGTCTCTGTAGCACACACAGGCAGATGTGAAACCTTTGTTAAGAAACTCAGCTGAAGATATGCACTTTCAAAAAAAGAAAATCAGGTTGCTGCAGGAAGCCGCCAATAAGTCAAGGACAAGCACGTCAGGAAAGGTTCCCTACTTACACTATGTTTTGCAGCCATCTCTTGGCCCTGGTCAGTGGTGACCTTTCTCAGATGGACCAGATCCACTTTGTTTGCCACCAACACCATGGGAAAGGCCTCCCTGAGATGAAAACAACACATAAGTGACACGTACAACTTCAGGTACCACTTACATTGGTTTTGAAGGAAAGAGAAAGAGCATCATGTTCCAGACAGTTTGCCTGTGAGGTGTCAGGTTTCTGAAACACTTAAATTCTTGCGAGCTACAGAAGGGAACCACCAAATATGGACAGCGATTTGCTAAGTTCTAGATTCTATTTTCGTTCCATTTCAAGCTCACTTTTATTGGCTGTTGTCAGTCATAGCCAGAGAACAGATACTTGTCGTCTCTCACAACTGACTTTCACAACACAACAGAGTTGTTTTGGAAACAAATCTGATTCTCTGCCCGACTGGCCTGCAGCTTAAGGAGGGTCAAGCAAAGAAGAGATCCTGGGCCAGTTCTTGAATTCCTGATCCTTAATCAACCTGAAAGATATGACAACGCTACCAGTTAGTGCTGACTCAACCATTTCTGCTGAGTCAACAAAACTCATGCTGCCCTGACAGTGGCAGGAAAAGTTTGGCATTCTGTGAGGATAAATGTTACGTAGTGACAAAGCAGCATGAAGTGAATATAATTAGTATTTTGAATTTGTATGTGTGGTGTATTTGGCTTTAAATGGGTTGTCAAATCAGACCACATCAGATGATGATATGGTGGAGCTCACTAGGCCTTCAAAGTACTCAAAAAGTGAGAAGATCAGTCCAGTTGTAAATGAATCTACCAGTTTTACCATATTGTAAATTACATCTGAGAGAGCTTCCTCTTTTAATAACTTTGGCTTCCTGGTATGTTAATTTTCATTTACTATTATTGCACCCACAGGGTTTCAGTGTAATGGTTGACTGTATTGGGTATTTTAGCATTCTCTTCTGTGTTCACTTCCTAATAATCTGGTCAAGATAACTGGGACAAACTTTATTTAGTCCCAACCACTCTGATTATTGATCACAGCAATTACATTGGTGAAAAAATGGTATCTTAACCAATAGATATAACTAAAAGGAAAAAAAAGACACGGTTTGTTGAAAAGCATGTTCCTTAGTGGAAAGGGGAAGTTAAGCAGATGTCATATCATGTGTCTCATTTGTACTAATCAAAAGAGACTTTTAAGTGTTTAAAAATCAAAATGTCCGATTGGCTGGACAGATTGGACTGTTTTGTCATCTTTCTTTCTCACATACATAAAAATGACCAGCTATGGGTTTCTGGTGTATGTTGTCCTGAGGTTCTTGAGTCACTTGTTCCTTCCCAGAAAACTTGGGAAGATGGCTCTTTTCACAGAGTTGAGGTTCAAGAGAGTCTCGGCAACAGTGTTAATGAGCCATTTAAATGTAATCATTACATAACACTGTTTCAGAGTCAATTAACAAATCACACTTCAGTTCTACTTTGTTGAGTTTGTGTTTGGACCTACCTGTCTTTGACCCGTAGTATGAGTTGATGGAATCGGTCGACATGTTCAAAGCTGGCCTTGTCTGTCACAGAGAAGACGATGAGGAAGCCGTCTCCTGTCCTCATGTACTGCTCTCTCATCGCACTGAACTCCTCCTGGCCGGCTGTGTCCAGCACTGGGTAGATGGAGGGACACAAATGTATTACTGTACATCACACTGCTGAACACTACGCACAAGTGGGTAGAAAAAGGTGACAGTACCTTTTATTTTATTTCTTTTTACACCACCTGCACACCTGATTGAACTTAACAGTTAATCAGTTACTTATCAATCACACCAAGACCTATCCAACGTTTGATAAAGAGTCAAAGTTATTCCAAAAAATAACTGTTTAACCCTGCTACGCAACAGCATTCTTACATTTATTCAGTAACAAGTATAAATTGACCCTGTTTGCAGTAATCATTGCACAATGAGATGTGTGTAATCTTGTTATTGAGGCTTTATTCAATTTTCTACAAGCAAATTATCAGAACAAGAGTTTTTTTGTATGATCACCTCCACCCACGCACTTTCATAATCCTGAGAGAAAGCCCCTTGTAGATTTTGGTGACCCTTTGACCTGGTAATCTTTCCCTGGGTGCCACCTTCAGTCCTTGGCAGCACTTGTATTAACTATTGTGTCTTAACAGTGTTCAGGCCTTGGCAGAGGTGATTAGTTGCCAATAGTTAATAACAGAATGTCAAAAGTTTACACAAAGACTCTTTCCCATAAACTGCAAACTGATTTTTTTTAACCGGTTTTCTAATTCTTTCCAGAGTTTTATATGCTTCCAGCAAATTGAGTACTTTATAGGGGGGAAAGGATACATAATTTCTCCCACATGCATAAACCAAGCAGTGCTTTTTTTTCCAAATGTCATTAATTCTTTCAGGGAGTTGCCATTTCATAGCTTGTTCAGTGTAGGAAAACAGCAACAAATGTTCACTCATTGGTCAATGATGGATATGTTTAACTTAAACCAAAAGGAAAATGAAAAATAAATAAAATAGTAGATGAGCATGGACAGATATAGGATCATTCTCAGCTGCTGTCTGCTTCATTTCCAATACATTTACATTTCTACTCACCATCCAGTATTGCCCACTGCCCGTCTATCTCTGTGTGTTTCAGATACGAGTCCTCTATCGTGGGATCGTAGTCTGGCACAAAGATCTTCTGGAAGAATTGGATGGTGAGGGCGCTCTTCCCAACACCACCATCCCCCACCACCACCAGCTTGTACGTTGGCAGGTTGTCACTTGGCACAGCGCTGGTTGCCATGGCTACCTCCACAGTGGTGGTAAAGGTGGGAAGTAGGCTAGTAGGTGGCTGATGAGACACGCCAGGCTGAAATGGAGGACAGAGAGAGAGAGAGAGAGATAGAAAGACAAAGAGATTGACAATAGAGAGAGGAAGAAGCAACAGATAGAGAGGGAGAGAGAACAAGAGAGAGAGGTGTTAAGGTTCTTTGTTGCAGCTGCTTTTTCATCACCATGGAGATAACCACACAGCTTGGAGTTACAGAAAGAAGATGAAAAAAAAAAGACTAAGAATAGAGAAAGAGGCGGTAAAAGACAGAGTTCAGCACCATTTAAGTTCATCTAAACACATATTTCCATAGCTGGGTATCAGTAATTTAGATTCTGCATTGCCCCCACCAGAGAAAGACAACAAGCTCAATTAAAGTGAAAAGTGCAGCAATTGACATTTTTATTTCAACAAAGTTGGTGTTTTTTTAGAGAAGTGAGTGTCTATTATGTCTAGTTCCTTTATTATTGTCAGTTGTCTTGGAGGCAATGTCTAAAGCCATTACTGGAGCTGCATCCTATGAACACTCGTGTATTGACTTGAGTACTTATGCAAGATGTGCAGAAATTAAACCACAGATCCCAACACAATGCTGTGACAAGACAAATAACAAGTTTAGCTCCACTCATAGTGCTAAAGACATAACTGACAATCAAAAAAAAAAAAAAAAATTCAACAATTGTACTTACAACAAAAATTCTTCAGGTTACAATTTGAGAGATGAGATAGAGTTGACATGCTGTCTTTTTCCACCAGACCCTTGTGAGACAAGCCTTAGTGTGACTACGGTGTGCCGCACTGCAATCTCATGTATTTCTACTATAGCCTCAAAACAGGTGTTAACCACACAGAACAATATAATCATCTTGCCTCAGTCTAGCAAGTCACAACTATAATTGACCCCAGCTGAGCTGTATCATTGTACTAAACTGATTAGAGAGTAGGCATGAAGGTGTCTAGAGGAAGCATCATTTTGAAAAGATCATTTCCTCCAGCTTCTGTTTCATATTAAAAGCTTCCCACTAGCAAACCATAAAAGGCTTTTATTATGAAACCGCTACAGGAAATGCAGAATTATCTGTCATCAAGTGAACTACCTGAATGCTACTGAGATAAAATAAAAAACCCAATGAAATATGGACATTTTTAGAATTTTTAAAGTTTTGTAAGCAGATGAGTTTCACAGAATGGTGGGAGAATGGTCAAAGCTGCAACAATAAACCTGGTTGGATGAAGGCCTCTAGCCACCAGGCATGATTGTCCTGTTGTATAGGAAACTACTTCCACTTTGCCCGCCTCACTGGCTCTTTTCACAGTCACTTAAAGCCTGAGTATCACAACTGTATGGAAAAGTATCTAAAACAAGCCTTGGTAAGCCTGTTTTTGGACTACAGTAATAGCAGAAACCAGGCTAATGACATCTCCTCTGCCTGGCCCACTGTAACCACAGAACCAGCAGAGAAATATGATGGCTCCACTCCGACACAGATGGATAACTGTAGCTTGTAATTATGGCTTTTTGAAAACAAAAATAAACATGTGTCTTGTTATAATATGAGAGGTTTAACAGAAGAGTATTATTTCTACGCAAGTGGCTCATTATAAAAAAAATCTACTTAAAACATTTGCAAATAATTCAGATGCATTTCAGCGACAGCTTGTACAGTATGTACATTAACACGGTTATACTGTATTGTTCAAATCACCAAGAGCAATGAGTTACTGTAGGAGCTTTAATATGTATGCAATCTTATGCTGTTATGGCATAAAGCTCACACCACAGCTGGCCACAAAGCTAAGAAAGAAAGAACGAGATATGGGAGGAGAGCAGGGGAAGAGAGGAGCTAGAGAGAAGGGTGAGAGGAATCGGAAACAGAAGAGTGAGGGAGAGGAAGCAAGGTCACATGAGGACAAAGTGGATAGAGATGTTACAATATGGTGTTGAAGTGATCCATATACGCCACTATTTTACCGTCTGCTTCCTGTTTTTGGCCAGTTTCATCATTCTTATTTCTCCTGTTGCATGATATTGACAATTGTGTTTCCAAACCTAAAATGAATACATGCCTAAAATGATCTAATCAAGAGTGACGAGCAGCGATCTGTTCAGTTGGCAAATATTAGAAGGACTTACACCACTCACTGTGTGATTATTATTTATCACTGTCAAAAACAACTGCCCTAGAATGGAACAGTCTTGGTCCAACAATCAGTCATTTCAGATTTTAACCATAACTGGCCCAAAGGTGAGATATTGTTTCATCATCTTTAGCCTAATCAAGATCTGGCTAACTTTAAATAAACTTAAACCTCTGTGGGTTTGAGCTTATACACTTGTTGTTCATGACAGCCAATGTTTTAAGATGTAAAGAAGAGCAAAATTGAGGTTCAAGTGAAATCATCAGTCAATCAAGTTAACTTCAAGGTGTCCCGTGGAGTTTTTGACCACTAATAATGCTATTGTGCAACGTTTTTATGGGTGGGACCATAGTTTGTGTGTTGCAAGTGAAACAACGCACATTCCAGCTTCTGTTTTTAAGCTACTCCACTGATTAACAGTTGGCGGGAGAGAAACGTAGTTATACAGCAAAAAGGGCAAATAAGAAGAAGAGTGAAAGCAAGAAAATATGGAGGTAAACAATTCATAATGTATAATCAAAAAAAAGAAATTGCAATTTTATAAGGAAGGAGGTACTGAGACTTCAAGCCAGTAATAGCTGCTGGAAAACATCGCTATGATTAAGTCACAGGCTTGCAAGCTCCTGATTCCTGCCATTAACTGAGACAGTGAACACAACGGGGATGTAGGTGAACGCCTGGGTGGAGCATGAGGGAGCAGGGAGGGGTGGGAGGAGCTCAGTGGTTTGCTTCTACTACTACTCTGCGGTGAATTTCATGCTGATTTCCAGAACATACCGTACCTATACATATATGCGATCTGTGGTAAAAACATGCTAACAGCTTCACTTAAAACCACAGAAACTACAAACACAACCGTTAGTCAAGCCATCCACAGTGTTAATACAAATCTGAATGTAAAACTTATCTATTCCACCTCACTGTGAAACCTTAAGATTTATAGATTTCATTAAACTGTAGCAACAGCCAAAAGCAGACAAAAAAAAACACATTCTCTCAGCAATAGCATAACACCCCCACCACCCACCCACACACCCATTCCTCCTTCATCCACCAGGAAACAGCTGTCAGCTGGCCAAAGTCCATCCTTTCCTGACAAGCACAATGGAGGGAAGGAAGATGTTTCCTTCCTCTCCAAAGCCAGCCAGCTAATCAATCAGTCTGCAGCAGTCAGCCTGCCAGGTTGGGCAAAGAATTCCTGAGCCAAATTATTGATGTTAAAAAGACTCTTCAGTCAGTTAGTTGGCTGGCTGTCACAAAGTCACAAAATAGGTGTCTAAGCCATTATCCTATTTCAGAAGACACTATATTTTCAATGCAGTGCAGAAAAACAGAAACACAACAGCTTGAGAAGCACCATGAAATCACAGAACCTACCACCAGTAGTGGTTTTCACACCAGTCATGCATGGCGTGGCCTAGCTGAAGCCAAGTCAGGTCACAACCTTGTTGGGTGTGTCAGCATTTCCCCTGTGTGAGTCTCTTTGGTGGGGTACACAGTTCTCTGAAACACCACTGGTCTCATTCTGTGAGACTAAAATAATCCACAAACACCAGTTTAAACCAGATTCTTTTGGGAGTGGAAGCTTACTGAAGGAAATTTTACTATGTGTCCAACCAAAGTTAGTCATCTAACCAATGTGGCAGGCTATATGGCCTTACAAACCAACCAAGGCTGCAAAGATATACTTACAGCATCATGCACAACACTTAGGCCGTGTCCACACTAGTGCTTATGAATCTAAATCTTTTCAATGGCAATGACTTTGCCCCAAGATAAGGTTTGAAATGCTTTTTTCCCCAACAGATTACACTTCTACTACACATGTGCTAGATTTGATGACACTAACTTCTGTTACGGAGTGCAATTCAGTTAAAACTGTGTGCTCGCGTCAATGCAACAACACGATTGGCTTGATATGTTTCATGGTTCGGCTGGTTTGGCTTTTTGGTGGGAGGGGCTGGATATGTGTCATACAACTGCCATCTTTGGCATCACTGACTTTTCTATAAGTGGTTTGTGTCCTCCCTTATAATATCTATGGGTATGTATGGCTGAAAACCCTAATTGGTATAGTTCCTCTATGTAGCAGCAATATTAATAAGCGAAACTGGAGAATAAGAGGAGTCAACAAACTGAGATTCAACCTGCTAAGACAGGACAGACACGTTATCCATAACTATACAAATGGTAAAGCCACAAAACATGTAATGGATTCTTTTGTGTGTTGTTTCACTTGATTCCTCACCCGAAGAACCAAGACAAATGAAGAGCATCAACCAGTGATGTATTCCTTTCAATGCGGCACATCTGTCTACATTGATATATGACTCTGGTGTGTGCATTTACATATAACATAGCTGAAGCTGATGTACTCTGAACCTTATACTAGTCTTCACAGTGACTCTGTAAAGTCTCTCTGGGCACTTGAGAAGTGGCTAGTTGCTGCCTTGGGAAAGGATAAAGGCACTTCCCTCTTCACATGGGAACAAAGCAGCAACATAACTCACAGAACAGGAATAAGGAGGGACTCAGAGCACACCCGGCCTGTACTGTAACACTGATATCAACACTCATTGATGGTTCAAAGGAGGTGTTAAGACATAGTTCAGAGAGTTCACCAAGCATCAAGCTGCTGTAATGTTCAACTCCACCTTTTAATAAAATTAAATTAAACACATTTATGAAATGTATGGTATATTTTCATGAATTGCTCTGGTAAAAAACAGAAAATACTTTTCCCTAAATGTTGAAATCCTAACACAGTTTTGATTGTTAATGGAAACTGGGTTCTTGTCACCAAGACAGCTTAAGTAAAAGCAATTCACTAAAAAAGGGCATCAGTGAACAGGGTCAAATACAAATGGAACCTAACATTTCCATACCAGAATCAATATTCTCCAATTTGTAATGTAGAAAAAAATCAGATACACATATTTATATTATATTGCTTGTCAAGATGACATCAAACACTTACAGATGTTTTCTGCACAAAATAATACCCAATATCTCTAGCATCACCTTCACACAAATTCAGTGTGCAGTAAGATGCAATCTGCCTCTCTGAGCCAGTGTCTCATTGTACAGACTTGTTTCCTTCCTGATACACTGTTTCAAAGTGATGATTACATGAGCAGCAGTAGGCTATGCTAATGATAATGTGTATTCAGATGCCTTTAAACTTAAGATGTCTTTGAACTCATTTGCACAAGTAACTTGTTATGTACTGTTTGAGAGCGTGAAACGGGAACACACAAATAGAAAATCTGCTTTTTCATGTGGTAATATCAGTTCATTTATTTCTGCAAATGATGTAAGCAACGTCAGACTGTTCCCCTCATCACATTTCCTCCTACAGTGACAGTGCACACCCAGATCTTTTAACACCCTATGCAACATTTGGCTGACGACAAAGTGTATACAGCTAAAGAGATGGCACTACAGCAGGTCACATGACTGTGGGTCATCACCAATGACTCACTTGGCATTCTCCAGTCTCACGCCACTGTTTGAGATCCCTTTTAGCCATAAACTGCATTGATGTCTTTTTCATAAAACAACATTGTTCAAAGAATTTCCCTGTAGATGAGGCTGCCATTCACAAACAATTCTCACACACATAATCCAAATATCTCACTAATGCACTGTGACTTGCTGAGGGCATTTCATACTCTGACCTTTCTATTCATTTACTCTGGTAATTTACTTTTTTGTGAATTTCAACCAGGCAATAGGATGTAAAGACTGAACCCCTGCCAGGCATTAATGACACTGAAAGAACAATTAAATACTTGTTGTATGTGAACAACTGATTTCCAGTTGGGAGAAAGAACAAACACAATGAGGTAAGAACACAATATCTTCTAAAAGCTGAAGCTCTAAGGTCTAATAGTGTTGGAATTGGAACCTCTCTAGTTGACTGTGAGGCAGATACCTTAATTTCTCATACATGTCACGATCAAAAAGGAACCAAATAACATAATAGCAGTTAGAGAGGCTTTGTAAATCTATTCATCAGTACACACAAAATGGTCTTCATGTTCTTAATACTATGGGCAGGCAATAATAAACAAATAAATGTTATTGTTTATTGGTTTCCAGTAAAATCAGATCATGATGAAATGATAACATTGAATACAGTTTCCTTTTTGTACCTGTATGACCTATATATTGTAGTTACCATGTATTTGGATTTTGGATGTTGGTGAATTCCAACACCATTGATCAAATTACAATTGCAACTTTGATAAAATGTTTCATTTATTATTATTGCACAAACACAGTTTATAACATTTGGACAATAACAAATATATGGACATGAAATAATACTTATTTGCTCTCACACTGTGGTAAATATGTACTGCACTTTGAATGTGACAATATATGAAAGCCCATCTCTGAAACCTGGAGGTAAGGCAGATGTTGCAAGAAATTGCTTGCACTAAGTGGATTTCTATCTGTGATGAATATTACTTCATCATGACAATCATTTAACATACTGTACATCACATGGCTAGAATCCAGATTTACAACTGAAGGATACCTGGGTCTATACTTAAAAATGAATTCAGTGAAACTCTCAATACTGGCAACAGCAAATATGGACTAAAACCTAGATGTGTGAATGAATCCCAAAGCAGTATGCAATTATTGATATGAATTTTAATCAAGGAATATCATCTTAAATAAAATTCAATAAGGACTGTGACTAAGGCTAAGACTGACTGTAAAGTAAAGTACTATTTAGTTGAGGTTTGGCTGCTCCTGTCTCCACCTCAATGGGTAGGTCGACAATATCACCATTAATACATTGAGACCAGTTAGGTTTGAAATAACAACATATATACTGTATTATTGTTATTTATCCTGGTCAGGTCCATGCCCTAATAACCCCTCATATACAGTATGTACATTCACACATGTAAGGTGGAAATGTGTTATCTTCTTACTCTTGAGCATTTGCTATGCCCAAAGGCACCTCATGTAATGAGCAAAAAGATCATCCATCATTTCTAATTCATTTTCTTGCTTAGTTTTGTCAGGCCACAAGCCTGCTTTTCTACACTATGGTACAACCTTCACACTTTGAAATGTCAGGAGTGTCACAAGACTCCAAACATGCAAGTGCCAATATGAAGATCTCAGGAATCAGTATTTAATAAGCAGAAACACCAGGCCAATACACATGTAATAGATCACTGCAAGAGTCTCCTGGCTGGGAAACACAGCACCTACACATCATCCAAAGGGGGATTTATGATTGGTCAGAGGTCACAATTAAGCTTTTGGGAAATTGTGAAACAGCATGCAAAAGTCAGGCCACCATTACTCTCAAAAGCAACGTCATCATCCTCATCCTCAACATCATCAGCAGCAGCAGCAGCAGCAGCAGCAGCAGGGTTTGACATTTCCATGAAGTTATGATGGAAGGATAAAGGCGGATCTGTCACCAGACAGCCAAATTGTCTGTTGATTTCACTTTGCTATTAATAGTGATTAACGTGTGTGTGTTTGTGAGTGTGTATATGTATACTGTGTGTGTGTATGAGTGTGTGTCTTTCTGCGGACTGACTGGTGCTTCTGAATGATCTCATCCTATGATTTGATACATGAAGAATCTCTCTGTTCTCTCTGCCCAGCTGTTAAATCTGCACACCATTTCTGCTTCAGAGCTGGACACGACTGTGTGTACACAGCTGTTAAAGATATGGTGGTTAAAATACATATACTATATACAGTAGAAGGTTTCGTGTTCATTTCTGACAGACGAGAAAAGACGAGAACTGTGTTTTTGTTTCTTCCCCAGGGGAATTTTTTTGACATACACAGGCAAGGCCCGTGTGTGTGTGTGTGTGTGTGTGTGTGTGTGTGTGTGTGTGTGTGTGTGTGTGTGTGTATGTGTATGTGTGTGTCTGTGTGTGCGTGCGCGTGTGTGTGAGAGTGTGAGAGAGAGAGAGCGAGAGAGAGAGAGCGAGAGAGGGAGAGAGAGTATGGAAAACCGACAGTAGCCGCCCCTGAATAACGGATTTTGGTTGCTTCATCTCTTGAAGTTTGCAGCAAAAAATGAATTTCCGCAAACGGTTAACAGTCGTTTATATTCTTCATTAAAACGAGCTAACCCCACTGACTGTTTACCGCGTTGTCATTGGTCGAAATAGTGACAGTCAGCTAGGCTACAGTAAGTTGTTGATACATTGAGAGTAGTCTAGGATTTTACATTAACGGTAGGTGTTGCCTGCACTGTCCGTGAATACAGACACACGCATTCACGACCTCTTCAGTCTCAGCAGGAAAGCTACTCACCGACACGAGCTCCGCTGTCGTGGACACAAAGAAAACGTCCTCACACCGACATATTCCTCCTCATCTCTTTCTTTCTCGGCTTCAAACCACCGCCGCCCTTTCGCCGCAGATGGGAGTGTGCTCCCCACATCTGCGAAACAATACGTCGAGTAGCTAATCTTTGTATTGCAACAGCTGATGTTATAAATAGAAAAGTCCCAAAGGGGTGACCGCTGTTTCTTTTAAGACATGAAACGATTAAATGTTGGTCTTTAACCGTATAATGATTTCGGTATTTTCGAGCAATTGGAAAGTAACGTGTTCATTTTTTTTCATGATGCATTTTTGTGTTAAAATTCTGAAATCTCACGAAGCGTTAAAAGAGTTACCCTTTTTTAGAGAAATGGACTCTTCCCACATATAGCGGACTTCTTTAAAGGGATAGTCCTGTCAAATTAGCCCTGCCTAATTTAGGGGGAGTCAAATGGATTCATTAGGGGGGAAAAATCCTTCTAAATTACTGATAGACTCACAATTTCTAAATCATTTTCTATTTTCTTTGCAAAATTTATGCTTTTCCGTACATTCAGATTTTGTATTCTCCTGTTTGCAATAATTAGTGAGTACACCTGGTGTAACTCTCCTCAGCTAATTGCGAACTATAGTAAATGCTTTTGACACAGAGACCCACAAATCCTACATATATAGCCTAAATGTTTACAGTATTGCACTGAGAAAGCAACAGGTGAAGGCTAAGTGAGGTTTATGATTAATTTTTGTTACAAGCTTATAGGTCACTGATTTATTCACCCCTCTGTTTATTCTTCAGGTGGTTCCTTGGTTCTTCTCTTCATAACTAAAATACTAACCATTGTCATTTCCTGGCTAAAGCTGTACAAAGAAGCCTGGTGTGTGTGTGTGTGTGTGTGTGTGTGTGTGTGTGTGTGTGTGTGTGTGTGTGTGTGTGTGTGTGTGTGTGTGTGTGTGTGTGAGAAGGCAACTGGACTTTTTCATAGCAGACAAATTGACTGGTCATAGTAAGAAAAGCACAGGTGTTACTAACATTAACAATGGCTCTGTTCTACTCAAGTGTCCCAGTACTAAGTCATGACAGAGTGACAGCAAGACACAAACCCAGGACCCTGGAACTGAAGCAGCTAAATGGAATTTAACCACCATTACTTATATTATTTATACTTGTGCTTTTCCCACTGCAACGTGTAAAAATGCCTTCTCTGGAAAAGGCCCATGCATTGTGAATTTATTACACATCAGTCATTTAACATGTTTATGATGTGCAAAGCAGTATGGAAAAATTCATTAGATATTGTGTCATTTGAAAAGTTAGACGTTGCATGCGAAAACAACAACCTAATATGTAAACTCATATGTGAAACATAATTTCACACATAGTTTGTGGATATACAACATACACGTATGCTTTCTTTTCTTTTTTTTCACAGACACAAATTTATTTACAGAAAAGAAAGTGAAGACATTTCATCTAATTATCTAATACATATCTCAGAATTACAACATGTTTATCTCATAACTATTACTTTGTATCTCATGATTTATAGACAAGATCTCATGATTGTGACGTAGTGGAATTGTAATTACAAGACTTTTTTTCTATTACCTGGTGAGATATAAATCTCCAAACCGCAAGGTCATAATTATGAGAGTACACCTCCTTTTTTTCCCCTTTGGTGAATCCATTACTTTAGATTTCAAATGTGGAAAAATCACACAACACGTCAGAGGCAGCAGTGTTTTACATGTTTTAGGTCAGAGCAAAGTTAATCATTTAATAGAAAGTATATTAATTAGCACATCTGTGCGATTACCTTTTCAGTGAACCTGCTCAAGAAAAAAAAAAACATGGCAATGCTGCCTTTGCTTTTGTTCAGTTTAGCTAGAGGTCAAAGAGATAGATTAGGATCTGATCAATCAAGAGAAAAGAGGTGTGTGTGTGTGTGTGTGTGTGTGTGTGTGTGTGTGTGTGTCTGTGTGTACAAAATGATTGAGGGCACAAGGGTAAAGAGAGGGAGAGAAGGCTTGGGTGTTATTGAGAATAGATTAGGGCAGATGCTATAGGCTACAATTAAAATTTTGGTGCAGCATGTACTGGAACATGGGCCAACAGCATTGTGCAGAGGCGCTAAAGAGCACCATTGTACATTGTTCATTTTACAAATTAAAAATTGATCATGAGTCACTTCTGAGCAATCGCATTCCTCATTTCATAACTTATCCAGTAAGAGGTTGGTAAATGATTTGATTAATAATCGAACATCAGGAGGTCATGAAACAGTGTAACTGACAGGAAAGGTCTGCAGTTTCCTAGTTCATCCAGAACCTGCTTTCTGAATGACTTATTACTTTCTCACATAGCTCGTCGTTACTTAAATTACCTGCTTCCCAGAAACCTTTATTTTATATATATACAGTACTGTATATATATATTTATATGGTTGTTTGCCAACAAATGAGTATTTTCTGAATATTAACTCCTTTGATTTTTATATACTGATTATTTAAAAAAGAGATATGACATAGTGTAGTAAATAAGTGCACGCACATTGAATGTATACTATATGCTCAGAAAAATAAAAAACACACACACACACACACACACACACACACACACACACACACACACGCGCGCACACTGTGTGTGAGTCTGTGTGAGAGCGAGGGAGAGAAAGATGTAAGTAATTCAATTGAAATAAGGAAGAGGAAGCTCCATCTTCATACTACCTCTGTAAATAATCCAGGCATTAGACATTTTATGGTTCATCTTACAGTGACTAACTGATGGGTAATGAAGTGGTCTCACTCTCTCGGTATGTTTGCTCAATCTTTCCAGGAAATCCACTGCATTTAAAAGCATGTCCACATAGGCTATACACACACCTACACACCAAGAATGCACACGATAAATGATTCTTTCCATACATTTTATGTGATGTTAAAGAAAGAAAGAAAGAAAGAAAGAAAGAAGATGTTGTATACAATAAATTTTATCTTAATTGATGGAAAAAATTACACTTGAGTGGATGGATGGAAATATTTCAAATTATAGCCCATTCATGTTGATACAAAGCACATTTTAACACCTAGAGTTTAAGAACAAAACAATCTAAATTGTCTTAAACAGTCACATGGTACTGAAATTTAGCCCAAAATATGAAGTGAAGTACAACAAGTAGAGTTACATTTTGATCCACCTATATAGTGTAAAGGGTAAGGACACTTTTTGAAGGGAAAAGGTGGACATTTGTTCAAATTCATTCTACACCAAAAGAACAGAAACGTTCTTCTCCAGGTATAGAATACTCTCACCATCCACATCCACAATAGCTATATCCACAATAACCAAACCACAAATATTCTATGTTTGTGGTAGTAGGATGGAAAAGATTTGAAATATCCTTTACCAAGTTTAAAAGTGCTGGAGTTACACTTGAGACTGTTAGCAAAACAAGAATATGATAATAATTGTAATAATATGAGCATGCTAACATATTCAAAATTATAGTATTAACATGCTGATGTTTAGATGGCAATGTTTATCATGTTCAGTCTTGCCATGTCCAGATTTTCAGATTACATTTCCTACTGTGTCAGTGTGTTACAATGTTGGCCAGCCCAGCTGTAATGTATCAGAAATGCACCCCCACTAAAATCAACGGTTATAGTAAACTAAGTTAGGGTGCTTTTTTTCTATCTATCCAGATCTATATCCAGTACATTTCATTTGTGACAATGTATTATCAGACCTTTATTTGACATTTACCATAAGGTCTTTAGATATGGAAGACTTTAAAGATAAATGTACTGTGTAATGTTGTTATCCGGTTAGCAGTGACACAAAAATTCTCTTTTTGTTTTCCCGGTAATGTTCATCAAGGAGTCAGGAGCTTGCCCTATTTGACATAAGGATCTATTGATCTAGGCTTTGGAGGACTTGTAGGAAGCAATCAGGAGGTGGTGAATTGATTGACTGGGTTACTGATTTATTCATTCACTGAGAGGTCACTCCACTGGCTCGGACGGCAAGTTGATGGGATCTTAATTTGAGAATTGATTGCTTTGTGTCTCCTGCATACTCCTCATTTTTCTTCAGATGCTGCTGGTGTTTGCAGGGCAGGGTCAGACAGAGTGCAGGTGGAGCCTTTCTATGGCAGCCTATACAGTCACAGGTAAGCCAATGGCTAATGAACACATCTGTACTAAATTAAATGATATCTTAATTTTTTTTTTTTATCCTGAGAGAAATAATTCTAGCATTTATATAATTCTTAAAGGTAATTTTCTCAAAGACCACAGTGTTCATCATGTCAACCTTGTGTAAATTCAGTGTCATGGATCATTAAGCACCAGTGACATCTGTGTGTGTTTGTCAATATTTATGCAGTGACACATAATGCATATACAGTATGTGCACATGCATCATGTGTAAAGAAAAATGCAGTGAATCCATCATTGTCCAGCAAATAGCCTCCTTGACCTTTGGGGATACCCTCAAAAACTTCTCACTCCTCTGCCACTTAACACATGAACACATAAGGATCCTATAGAGATCAGACAGAATTCAGCTTGTTTTGAATTTTTTTTTTTGGTTCATTACATGAAGCGAAATGTGCTGTCTGTAGTCTCACTGCTGTCTCCAACCTGAGTTGGATGTTGTCCCTTCAGGCTGGTCTAAAATGCCAAGGAGCAAAGAGAGGTCATTGAGACCACTATCAGCTCTTAAAAAATATTCATGTGCTTCCAGCCTAATTCTTTGCACAGTCGCAGGCATTCAGCTTCTTCCAGCATGCATTGTGCTTCCAGTCCATCAGAGGACTGACACAGTTCTGTATAATGATGATTATGATAATGGCATGTAAATGTCATGAACACACAAACTGACAATACTCCCTTGTATCATTGTGATTTGTGTACTTATTTATTAGAGGTTTATAGCTTACAATAGAACAGAATAGAATAGAATCAAATAGAATAGAAGAGGGGATTCTCCCTGTGTCTTTCTCTTCAGACACACACATATTACACACATACACAAAGACACACACTTCCATTGCCTCTTGCCTGTTTCCATGGAGACACTAGTGAGCTGTTTCTTTCCACTAGGATCAGACCGTCTGACTTGATCACAATGCATATGCACACACATACACGCACACTTGCATGCACACAGACAGTAAAGTGGTACATTTTTTAGTTTTACCATATCAATCTGTACAACAATAACTTTTATACTGTCCTACTTAGGGATTATCCCTCCATGTACAAGGTTATTTACTATCACCATTCTACTGCTGTTATGTAGATAACGCATTACTCATCCAGTCTCTCATTTGCTGTTTTCTGCAATAGTTTCTGTTGTCCAGATTGTTGCAAATTAGGGTTTTAATGTGATGAAAGTGTGAATGTTTTTATAAGTGCATATTGGAAATGCATCAGTTTTCATATTGTATTTTACCAAAGAGATGGGATAAAACACTGCAAGCCAAATGGGAGCACAATGAGCTCAGAAGGTGATGAGGGTTAGGGAGGATAAAATGTGCTTTTTGTTCAAATGAATAATATAAATGTTCCTCATCTTGTACTGCAATTTTTTATTATAATAATCACAATCCTTGTTGATGAAAATCCTCTGAATGCTTTTTACTCTTCCAGCAGTTGCACATTGTGATTTGAACTATTGTCATTAGAGGTTATCAGAGGTCATCATGCAGTATGATAGTCTAAGATACTGAGACTTTTCTCACTTGTGTCTTTAGTAACTGCACAACTTTCACTTCCTCCTCTAGCAGTGCTGTGTGCAGCCAGTCAGGTTCTGTAAAGGTTCAAAGCAGGTTGATGTTGCGACTCTTTGTGACATCCTCTGGAAAATTACTGTTCTAGCTAATCTGCTTTAACTTTAAAAAACATTTTAAATCTTTAATATCTCTGTTCACAAAATGTGGTTTTATTAAAGATGGGAGTGTAGCCACAATCTGGGTGACTGGGTTTCCACTAAAATAAATAAAGACACCGCTGGGTGAATGGGTGAATCATTATGTGTGATCCTGAAGAGATTAATTCAGTATTTGCAATATAATTGTCAAAGCATAATTACCAAAGCTGTAGTCCGTCACACTAGAAATACAGCTAATAATAGATAGTAGTTTTTTAGTATTTAAATTGTACTGCATAAAATAACAAGAAAATATAATACAGTCTTAATTTTCTAAGCCTAATGTCTTTGTCCAACAGTGGGGGAAGTGTGTGAGCTCTGGCTGGCTGCATCTGCCCTGCAGGTAAAAGTTCATCTGATGCCTGTTCTGATGCATCTTATGTTTGAAAATGAAGTCAGTCTAGCACTGCGGAATCACCCTGTTTTGTACAGTGTTATAGCAGATTACAGCATTGCTCAATAGCAATGTGCTAAATATTTGATTATTTTCATTTCTTTTATTGGACTGAAGGAAATGTGATTGTATATTGTGAGGCTGCTTTAAGACCTATGCAAAATTTACACCAGATGCACCACATCAGCAGCACATAGGACGCATGACTGAGCAAAGCTTTGAATAGTTTGATTGTGAAGTGAAACAGACCTGCTATTTAAAACTGTTTCTATACTCATGGATAATTTCTGGATTGGAAACTCTTGGGCATCTAGATTCTCATGGAAATGTATGCTCCGGTGTTTGATGCATTGTTGGTAAGGTGCACTATTCCCTTGTCATTGATATAGAGTCATGCCCCTCAGGCTTTACCAGGTCCTTGTACAAGCCTGAGGTACAGAGTACAAGGACCTGAGTACTGTACTGTACTGTACTGTAACCTAAGTATGAGCCTAACTAGAAACTGAACTAAAACAAAACAATTAGGATCACACTATCTATAATATACTTATACAGTGGCTTCAGGTGGAAATTCAGACCCTTTCACTTCCTTTCTTTCTTTTATTGTGTTGTAGATTTAATTCTAAATGGTTTTGCACATCAGTCTAAACTAGGTAACCCATAATAACAATGTAAAAATGTTTTTTTTAGAAAATTTGGTAAATTTAAATAATATATCAATAAAAATCAATAATGAAATCTCATTTACAAAAGTATTCAGACCCTGTTCACTTTAATTATCCTTGATTTGTGTCTGGAACTTAATTTGAGTCCACCTCTGGCAAATTGAATTGGTTGGAGATCCTTTAGAAAGACCCACATACAGTATATATAGGCCTACATAATGTATATAAGGTCCAACAATTCACACTGCATTTCAGGACAGAAACCAAGTCATGAAGTCCAAGGAATTCTCCATAGACCTCCACAATATAATTAATTGTGATCACATATAGACCAATTGTGAAATGGAAGAAGTCTGGAGTCATCAGGACTCTTCCTGAAGTTGACCATCTGGCTAAACTGGCAATAAGGACCTTTGTCAGAGAGGTGACCCAGAACCCAGAGCTTCGAATATGTAGTGCAGTTACTTCCTGATTGCCCTGAGGAGGGCGCTATTACATTGGCTGTCAAGAATCTCAGATCTCAGAGAAGTAGTGGACATCGGGTAAGCCCAAGAAAATAAAGAGTGTGTAATTATTTTCTTTAATATGGAAAAAGGCTTATTTTATGATATGGAAAAAACGACTCAATTAGATAATATCTGGGTTGGTATTTGTATTTGTATTTATTACCAAACATTATGGATATAGTTATCTAATTAGGACTCAGTGACTGGATTATTTGTCATACTGTTTTAATATCAGCTGTTCCCCCACGGTTACTACCCCAACTCCAGTCAGCCCTTAGCTGCTTCCTAGACGTGACATACCTCCGCCAAGGCCAATGTCAAACAACATAAACCAGACTTCAGACAAGAAGATTCAAATTCTTAGTAAATAATCCATATTTTAACCAAAATGTAAAGGGTTATTCCCTGGCCCATGATCCATCCCTCCACCAAGTTCAGTTCAAATCGGTACAGTACTTTTTGCATAATCCCGCTGACAAATAAACAGGTGAAACATGACCTCCCTAGCGCAGGTAAATGACTGTATAACAGTAGGTGGCGATAATAATCCGCAATTTGCCATTAAAACTTCTGAAGAAGGGAAGAAGAAAAACAGGAAGAGGCGGCATAACAAAATGGCTTCCAGTTGGTCGGCCCCAGCCCTAGAGCTCTCCTGTCCGGTCTGCCAGGACATCTTTAAAGATCCCGTCCTGCTTCCTTGCAGCCACAGCTTCTGTAACGTCTGTGTTCAGCAATGGTGGAGAACCAAACAAACACGAGTGTGTCCCGTTTGTAAAGCAGTGTCTCCTCGGTCTAATATACCGCCTCGGAACCTGGTGTTGAAGAACCTGTGCGAGGCTTTCCTGCTGGAAGTGGAGTCAGGCGTTGTCTGCCGCCTGCACACGGAGAGACTGAAGCTCTATTGCGTGGACCACCAGACACCTGTTTGTATTGTCTGCAGAGACTCGAGCCAGCACAGAAACCACACATTTACACCCGTGAACGAAGCTGCAGAGTTTCACAGAAACGGCCTGCTGAAGCGCCTGGAGCCCTTACGGGAGAAAGTGAAACTATTCCATGAAGTGAAAGCGAAATGGGAGAAAACAGATGAAGACATTAAGAACCAAGCTGGGGAAACAGAGAGGAAGGTAAGAGAGGAGTTCAGGGTGCTTCGGACGTTTTTGCAAGAGGAGGAAAATGTTAGGATTGCAGCACTGAAACAAGAAGAGATGCATAAAAGAGGGATGATGAAGGACAAAATCTCAGTTTTGATCAGAGAAATAAACGCTATGGAAAGTACCATCAAAACCATAGAGGATGGGCTTACAGACGATGACACATCTTTCCTGATAAAAGTCGATACTCTGACGAAAGAAACTCAGCGCCCCCTGCCGGATGATCCACGGCATGTAACGGGAGCCCTGATCAACGTTGCCAAATACCTGGCAAATATTAGCTTCAGCGTCTGGTGCAAAATGATAGAGAAAGTGTCATACACCCCTGTGATCCTGAACCCAAACACTGCCCATGAAGAGCTCCACCTGTCTGAGTGTTTGACCAGTGTGACATGTGGACCCAAACAGCCTCTAGCTTCAACCCCAGAGAGGATGGAGCAGCACCGCTGCGTCCTCGGATTTGAGGGCTACAGCTCAGGGACTCACAGCTGGATCGTGGAGGTTGGAGACAGTCAAGTATGGGCACTGGGTGTGATAGCACAGGACGCTCAGAGGATGGGAAACATACTCTCTGGGTTATGGATGCTGAGGTTCTGCCACGGTAAATTCACAGCATTCTGCCCATCACGTCCAGGCTCTGTCCTCCCCCTGAAGGACAGGCCTCAGAGGGTCAGAGTTTACCTGGACTGGGAGAAAGGAAAGCTGTCCTTCTTGGATCAACAAACTGACACAGTCTTACACACCTTCACACACACATTCACCAGCAAGCTGTTTCCATACATCAACACCTGGAGTGACCTTCCACTGAAGATTTTACCCATGAAACTCTCTGTAACAGTCACGAACCTGTTAAAGAATTGCAGATAAGAAGAGAATCCATTAAGAATTAATGAGCAAAACAATCAAGTGTTGAAATTATTGATATGTTTTTCTTATTTATATTGGTCTTTGAAGACAGATTTTTGTTTCAACTTTTTTATATCTGTCATTGCAATAACAAAAGTAATGTGATACAATGGAGGAAAACAGAACTTAAACAAAAATCTAAAGAATTAAGGTTATGAATACTGCATTGAATACTGCAACTTAAACACCAAAAAATATATACTGTACATCAACAACCAGTGTTGGTCAATGATGCAGTAGCATGGGGTGTATTTAATAATGGTAATAATTTACACATATCCCTGAATATACTTAATGTAAAATACACAAATTGAGAAATTAAGCAGTAACTGACAACTTAGTTAAAATAACCTGTTATAACTATATCAACACTGTCAAAGCCAGAAACCTGTGAGAATAATGCTTCATTGGGGACATTTCGCACTGATCAAATGGTAGCAATTCACTTAAACTTATTTGCACACCTATCAACGTTTTTGCCTTTATAGTTTTATTTATATTGCGCATAGATTAAGTTTCTTTATAGGGTGTTGGTTCCTTGGTGGTAAGGTAGTGCAGCATTGAACAGTGCTGTACAGGTAACGTTTTGATTGAATGTATCTTGTTTTTGTTTTCTCTCACTGCTCAAGTGCCTTTGCATTTGTTAAGATTTGACAATTATTTGTTATTGTACTTTATTGAGCCATGGTTGCCTTATTAAAACTACTTCCACCTCTATATGCGTAACTCTCAATTGATCCACTTATGTAAATGTATAGCTGCAAATAATATTAATAAAATAAAATAATAAATAAAACATACTTTTCCTCATGCAAAATAATGAGCAATTATAATACACAATATTGTGCATGATTATTTCAAGCTATGATTATTAATTATGTTATGATGTGTGATTCACATGGTTTTCCTATCTATTTCCATTCAACAAAAGATCACCAGCTAACGAAGTGCTGCAAGTTTTACAACTTTAGATCATGATTATTTTATTATATACATTTGAGAAAGTATTTATTTACTTACTTATTCATTATTTTAACATTCTGTCATGTTAATAACTTCATTGCAGTGCACATATGGCTTAAATACATTAATGTCGCCCAAAAACTCAAATATACAGCACATGCCACTTCTACAACACCCTGTCGTAAAGCGGTCGTGCAACAGCATGACGGCAGCTAAACCGCTTTACGGATAGGATTTTCTGTCGTCATGTAACTGTTGGGTGCTGTGCGTCTGTCCTTGTAAAGATGCCCAGAACATGTGAGTGTTTCAAGCTGTCTGTTGGCTGTAAATGCAGTTGTTTTTATTCTGTATTATTTTTATCCATTTAGTGAGATGAAGCGGTTTTCAGTAGGTGTATTTGACTTTTAGGGTCGTCGGCCAACGTTACTGTGTGTAATGCATAGTAGAAAATGAATGAATAGAAAAACAACCGGCGTTACAAGCCGATTGTATCTATTTGCAGCATTAAAGTTAGTTAACGATATTTTAAGGGTGTTATAGTGGCGTTTTTCAGTATTTTAACAGCGTTAAATACACAGTGATAGTGTTTGACATGTACTTCTAGGCTAACTTTAATTCGGTTGAGAAATTACAATCAGAACACTTAAGACAACACTTTAAATATACGAATATAATCCTCAGTTGTTGCTTATTAGCAGGTAGACATTGTTGTTTCACTACACATCAGCTACATCTGTAGACTGGAACGTAACAGTAACGTAATGCATTACTTGTGTCAGCTATCATCTTCCCATTTGTAGTCACTGTCATTTTTGTTAACTTTGAAGACATGATGACTGTTGTGTGAACCTCTTAACTGAAGCTGACTGAATATGGTCTGTGATGAAGGTGATGTTACAGAGGCCAGGACGTTAAAGAAAATGTCTCTTCAACAGGACAACAAAGGTTGAACTCCCTGCCTGAAGTGTCCTTGAGAACAACTCTTAAACTCTCTCTGACAGGATGTGAATTGCTTGAATCGTCATGTGTCTATTGAGAACTGATTTCTTGCCTGTCTGTTACACTCAGGCCTGTCGGTATACTCATGAATGCGCTGCCTGCCTCTTTCACAGATGCTGCCTACTGAAGTCTTCAGCACCTAACTGACACAAAATCAGTCAACAACAAAAACGTAGCATGGCGTCTCGCCTCCTCAAGTACTCAGTGCTTCTTCAGAAGTACCGGACTCCGCTGCTCATCACGAGCTGTGGCGGGGTCTTTGCAGCCAACATGTTCTACCATGTTTTCCCTGACATGTCCTACCGTCAGCTGTATCAGGCCTGGTTCAAGGGAGAGCCAGTCACGCTGTCTGAAAAACTGGAGGAGGTTTTCCAGCAGGTAGTGTAAATGTGTCTGTGTGCAGGCATTTTAGTATTTTTTTTTGTAATGTTAATTAGATTTGTACAATTATTTACAGATGAGATTAAAAAAAAAAAAAAAGACCCAAAGGGCATTTCACCTAGAAATTCATTCATTGGTACCTATTTATCTATTAAAAAGAACTACATATGAGCAATAATGCATGTCAGTTATTTGCACTGGCATATGAATGCATGACAGTTTTACAGTAGGTTAAGTAGACAATGTAGTCAACATGATACAGACCTTTTAAATTAATTAATTACAGCACACATAAAGCATATATTTAATTGACAAAAAATCTAAATTCATACTTGAATTCACGATTTAATGTTGTTTATTTTGTTTAATTTGTAGGTGTTGAAGGATTATGGTATCAGCTCAACCAAGAATTTCTCTGCCTTCGCCTCCTTTGGGTTCCATCCGGTTGGTGCTGGTGTCCCCTGGCTCCCTGCAGGGGCTCAAGTTGGCATCCCAGCAAACTTTAACAGCACGTCTGACAACTCGAGTGGAATCACCAACCGCAGCATTTTCATCAATGGAAAAACGGTGGAGTGGGACAGCGATACTGGCTCTGCACTAAAGGAGGCACTGACGTTTTCCATGGACGCACAGAAGTTTGCCGTAGCGCGAGAGGTGGCCCGCTTGCAGTCCGGAGGACCTGTTCTGAATGCTGCCGTGGCCCCGTTCTGCCTGGGTGGGGTTTGGGTGTACAGCGTGGTGCTGAAGCAGGTGTTCGGACTCCACGCTGGGCCTGCGCTGTTTCGGGGAGCTGCGAATATTGTGGCGCTGGGCCTCGGTGCCGTGTCCTACTTGCTCACCTCGGATGCTGTCAGCCAGTGGATTGACTACAGCTCAGACAAAAATGCGGCTGCACTGTCACGCGATTATGCCAAAGGAGGGGTTGAGTTTTACGATAAGATTCTGTCCAGAAACAAGACTCTGCGCTCTCTGATGGGCCAGAAGGGAGAGGAGATGTATGCTCCCAGTGGGAACTTGTTTCCTGCTCACCTCCTTCAGCTGAAACATACTCCGTATACATCCAGGAGGGAAGGGATCCTAGCTTTACTGAAAGAAGAGAAAGTTTGAAAAGAAAGGGGAGGAGGGCTTTTATGTTAAGAGTTAAAATCATTGTAACTGGGCCTCACATGAACGCCTGTAATTATCTACTTGGGCTTGTCTCTGAATAGACTCCAGTGGCGTAGGAAGGTCTCTGAGCTTAACATTCTTTTCAAAGAGATATGTCATCCCACATGTTCTGAATGTTATTTTGTGAATCATGAAGTGCAGAACAATTCAAATTACAAAGAAGTCTTGTAAACCCCTGGGGTCTCAGATTTTTAGTGGCGTGTGTGACTTGTGACTTATTTATCCAGCAGATTAATTCTGGATCCAGAGTACAAGTAAATTACTGTATTATTAACATGTGTTTATACAACCACATGTTCCAAACAGAAAATAAAAAATAAAATATAAGGTGTCTTTTTTAAGGTGTTTTTATGTCTCTAGATATTACAATTACAACCTGCAAGGAATGATCTGTGTGGCAAAACACTCGGTTAAACAGGCCAAAATGCTAAATTACATTTATTACATCCTATTATTGTTATCTAGCCATGCATATAGTTTTATCCTGAGTAATATTGTTTTCAGAAACGCATCATTTTAAATTCTGTGACTGCCATTTTTCATATCTCAGAACCTGAAACCCTTTATTTCTCCCCCGATTTTTCAAATAAGAGAGGGAGTCATCATAATCATGCAACACTAGAGATTTCCTATTGCACATCGTAGGCCCACTTCAACAGACTAGTTAGACAAAAGCATTTTCCTTCATTTTGAAGAATTTGTGGTGGAGAATGTGAGGTGTCCTTGGGTACAGCATCTCCAGGTGTGTTAAAAGTCAAATGAAAGTCAGGAAAAACCATTATGGAGGAAAATATCTGGATTTCTCTGGAATGGACTGGTACTTAAAAAGCTGTGTACTGTTTTTGTTTTGGTGGAAATGTTAAGCCATATTAAATGAATGAATCCTCCCACAAAGCAGCTGTGTGTAATGTTCATAATAAAGACACCATGATAATATAAAACTGGTTAATGCAGTGTTCTCCCAGTACACCTATATAAAAGCTCCATCTTTCTGTTTTTCCCTGTGCTCTTCTATAGTCATCTGTTTGTCCTTACATGAATAACTAATTGAGTTGATCATCTAACATCGCTATAATGAACAGCAAAGTTCTTTTATGCTTCTCAGCTCACATCTCAAAATAACCTTTAAGAAGAGTAACACTCTACACACCCATACATCATTTGCATGACCCTAAGTAATTTGCTCAGCGATAATAATCTTAATATGCAGCTTATTGTGACTCAGAACTCATCATATAGCACTCAAGTTCCCTTAGGTTGTCTGCATATTAACAAGGCTCAGATACGGTGTTTTAATTACATTTCCAATCTTGTACCCTGTGGACTGAACTAAATATAGAAGCATGTAATTAATAGTGTTGCAGACAGACATGCATTTACATTATTACACTTTTTACATTATTGTCCCTAGGGTAGACCATTCCATAGAAGTAGCAATGAAAGTGGAAATTTATTGTGTGCTTTTTCTCTGTCGGGCAAATGGGATCAAAACTAGAAGGCACATGTTCTGATAAAATCTGGACATAAAAAGCATGCAGACGGCAGAACTGGTGGAGTAGAGTAGCGGGACTGTTCTTAATCAGGACAGCTTGGTCTCAGTGTTCTCTGACAGCAAGTGTCCTTTCTACACTTGTGCCCTTGAGCAAGATGCTGTATTTGCTCCAGATCCATGGTTATGCAGCAGATTGTAGACTTTGACTTTCTGCACTCTTCAGTGAGTAATGCTTTCCCAGATGCACAAACATAATAAAAATATTTTTATTGCTCCAAAACACCCCCCCTTATTATCAGGTCATGCCATATTGAAAACACAATTGAAAAAAAGTTGGAAAAAAGGAAAGTCCCTATGAAGAAGGCGCAGAGAAAAAAGCTTTGACCAAATTTTTAGGTCTACTTCATCATTTCCCTGGCTACAAAGTGGCTTTTGAGATATGCATAACAACAACACTGGGCTTATTGTGTTGCTCTCACCGCTCCGCTTCATCTGCTTACTTCATTGTTTGCCCTACAGAGATAACTGTACAATGGGCCATTGTTTGTTGCATTGTAGGCTGTTTTCTTTCTTCCACTGGAGGTCAGTACAGCCCATATTACCATTCTTACAATTTGCTACTATCTTTCTTTTACAGTGTCTATGAATGACAGGGCTACAGATTCATTCGGTCTGAATGGACAGGCTTGGACTTGAAGTGAAAGACGAAAAAAAAGTCATTTTCATAACTACATTCATATTTGAAAGTCACACAAAGATATTCATTCGGAAATTTTGCCTTTTGTAGAGACAGGGCTATTTTCAAATTGAAGTTTAAGTTTAAAATACATTATACAGATATTAAAGTGAAGTGTGTGTGTGTGTGTGTGTGTGTGTGTGTGTGTGTGTGTGTGTGTGTGTGTGTGTGTGTGTGTGGGAGAGAGAGAGCGAGAGAGAGAGAGAGAGAGAGTGTGTTAAGTTACCCTATAAGGAATAATATGGTAGGCTATACATTCCCACTCCTAATGCCGAGCCTGAAAATGCTATTGAAAACAAAAGCTGAGAAAGTTGATTTTATTTTCTACTTCGGTGGCCTTTTAAAAAATAAAGGAGGGTTGATTTCACAATCCTTAGCCATGTATATAAAATAATATAGTATAATATAGTATAATATAATGTCCATTTCGCAATATATGCTAAATGTCAAGATCAATACAGCATCAAATTTCCTATTATTCAGTATGTACAGTACATACATACAAACATAAGTACATGCGTATGCACATATATACCAATACAGATTTTGCATTGGTTCTACCTGGGTGCGCTCAAAAACAAACATCGCGCCTCCCGCCCCGTGGCCCCGCCCCTGTGCGCTCGGTTTGCGCCATTACGTCTCTTTACTGATCACTGCTGTGGTGCAAGGCAGTCAGGCAAAGCAGCTGCAGAGAGACCAGGGAACGCTGACAACAACGGACAGGCTCATGTTGGGAAAGTCAGAAACGCAACATTTGCCTATTCGGTGATTTGATGTTCAACATTTTTCACTTATAACCTTTTCGGTGATCGCGTTTTCTTTATTTTTACGCGTGCGTGGGATTATATTTCACATTCTCTCGACCTGAAATGACTGCTAGTCGCCGTGTCTAGCCAATGGTTACTGCGGGGGCTCCTGTCTTGTGGATTATCCGTCGTCGCCGAGCCAGTCGCATGGTCGAGCCCGGAGGAGGCCCCGCTCTGCTGGATGGATGTGTGTGAAGCAGCGCCGGACTCCGAGTACTGATGAAGACTGTGATAGTGATGATGCTCGGGTTTCATCGGCAGTGGTTGAACTGATCTTGGATGTTCGGGCTATATCGCCCCTACACAAATCATTTCCTCATACAGCAAAAATTATATTCCTTAAAAACTGGACGCCCCTGGAGCAGTTTATGACGGTAAGAAAGACACTCATTCACAGGCCACCAGTTCTTACAGCCAACTGACGTTAGCTAGCTAGCTTAGCGCTGTCACTTTTATCCAAGTTGCTGCCCGCACCGCTAAATTGGCTAATATTGCGAAATAACATTGGGATAATGTTACTCCAAAGAGCCTGTGTCGTAATTACGCGTGTGCTTGCTGGAGTGGGGTCTGACAAAAAGAAATAAAAAACCCTTTTATGCATTTTACTCTATAACCTCAATAGCCAGTGCTTGTGTAGCTTGCTTGTTAGCTAGCTGTTTCTTAGCCCATTCAATATATCGCAGCTTACTTTACGTAGCTGCGAAACAGTAGCTAATCCACTCTGCACCGTATTGGTATGCATTTAAAGGTTTATTGAATCAGTAAAACTTTATTCAGCCTTCCTGTAGTCGACATATATAATTTAATTAAACAGGCCGTTAATAGCTCATTCATTGTACAGTGTACAATAAGCCCTTTAATGACAGAGTCCAGTTGGCGTTCAATGGGACCAGTGCGGCGTCAGTTATGTTACAACTGTGGCTTTAAATATGATATTGTTTTATCATATGAAACATTCAAAATATTAGTGATTATAGAGATATTTGAATTGCAGTATGTCAGCGCAAGTGTTGTTTGACTTAGCTAATATGATTATCTTATTATACAGCCTAAACGATAAGTGCATATACCGAATACAGGTCATTCAGATAAATTGGATGTGGGTTTTTTGTCATTCATTGCTAAATGACTGGTGAAGTACCGTTTGTTAAACTGCTCTCATGTACGTGTCACATTCTAGAAATGTCACACGAAAGGGCCTATATGGATAAGCTGCTTATTGCGACCCCGCATTCAATTTGACGGTGCATCAATTATTATTTTTTTTGCTAAGTAAACGATAGAAAAGTGCTCATGTCTGCTGGGCGAAAAGCTGTTAACTATGTGGTGTTAAGTAATGGATGTGAGGGTTTGCTGTGATGAGGCGTCCTCCTTTTTGTCGATGACGTAATCCTCCACCATCCGTGCCACATCTTTTGGGTCGCAGTCGGTTCCTCTGCTGCCTGCTGTTTGCCAGTCTGCTGCCGCTGCTGAGATCATATGGACCCTGCTCTGTCCTGTTTGTCTAGCCTCTCTCTCTCCCTCTCTCCCTCTCTCCCTGGCTCTCTCTTGTCCTTTTATCTATCTGAATTGCAAAATGACTCTAGAGTCATGTCACAATTGCTTCTGAAGGGGATCTCAGTAAGGGGTGGCAAAGGAAGGAACTGTGAATGAAATCCTATAGGTGGGTTCAGTTTTCCAAGTATTCACCAAATCAGCAGCCCAAAAAATTGTGTGACTAAGGATCCCCTAGGGATTATGTGAAGGGGGCAACAAAAGCCCCCCACACCCCCAACCTGATGACATACTGTGTATATCCTGTGTAATTTTACCGACTTTTCATGTGTAAGATGAGACAGTGTGATTTGTTTTGACAAGAGCTTTTCTACAGTATCCATTTCTGAAGGAATCCCCATAAACAAAATGCTTAACAGATGGGGGTCCAACAACATGACTTTGACCTAATGTTTGTAGCTCTTCTTGACCTGAATACATTTGGGAATCCCTGTCTGGGGGAGCTGTTGGTTGCTGAAGCTGAACTACTTATCTTGGGAATTAGGCCTGCCATGTTGCGACACATTTCTAGGCCTGTTTTGCCACCATATTATATATTAAAGCTGTGGTAGTAAGGGTTCATTTGCTTTAGACTAGACTGGACTACTAGAAAAGTACTTCGTACTACGTCAAGGGCTTGTTAGCTTGTGCAGTTCGTACTTAGTTTTGCTCCCAAACTAGAAAATATCACAATGATCAAATGATATGTAATTGTGCAATAATTTATTGTGACATACACTCTTAAGAGCTTTTTTAAATATAGTCATTTGTTGTCATCCTTTAACTATATGATTTTAGCTATATGTTTTTATCTGACCCACCTATTTTTTTTTTCTCCACACACTTTGTGATAGTTGTTCTTTAAAAGGCTGAAACACATCCTGAGTGCCCCAATGGTGTTGAAAACAACAGAACCAGTCTGAAAGCCAAAGTAAAATTCTGCAACCAGAGCTCAGAGAGAATAAAGAGAGGAGAGTCAGGATCTTTAAAGCCACAATCTTTAATAATAAAAAGGGAATCCCATCTCTGATTGGTGGCTGTGCTGTGGTGCTGTTGGTACCTAAACATGACTAAATAAGGCTGTGCAAAGTTTGTTGTCATGAAATAAAAATGCAGCTTTACCATTTTTATTTGATACATATTATAAATTCATAAATGATATGCTGAACAGAATCCTGGATTGAACTCTAAATTTCTTTGCTTTTGCTCCATCTAAACCTGTAGAAGTGGATGGACTCAGCTGGTGAAGATTAAATTGCCTGTGGCAATGGCCCCGTTTTACTTGAGCAGTGCACCTGAACCAGCCATCCCCATGGTTTACAACAGA